GGGGAAACAGGAAGGAGCAGAGGAAACAGGAAGGGCAGAAGAAACAGGAAGTGACAGGGGAAACAGGAAGGAGCAGAAGGAACAGGACGTGGCGGAGGAAACAAAACCAGGATTTTACTGGACTGAGAAATAAAGCAGCCAACAAACAGCAGAAAATGAGTCATAGAGAAACTAACGACAGGTGAGCTGAAACGCTGACCAGTTATTGCTGGACAGGAAGGGATTAGAGCACCAGGAATTACAAAATAAAGCAGGAAGTAAATAAAATAAAAACACTTGAAACAGACTAAGCTGATTGACGCTGTGATTTATAATAATCTACAACATTCAAACCCCTCTGAGACCCGCAGGACGGATACTTACCCGTACAGGGTCTCCAGATGTGACCCAGGACCAGAGAGAGCAGAGTCCAGGTGAGCAGCAGGGAGCGACACGCCAACATCACGCCTCAGTTATCTCCTCTCCTCAGCTTCATGGTTCTGATGAGGTCCAGATGGGAGGAAGATGGATGGAGATGATCCTTCTAAAGCCGGTTCCTTTAGGCTCTAACAGAAATAAATTAGACTCCGTATGAAAAACTAAATGTTTCACACAAACGAACAGCTCAGATCATCCAGGACCAGCGTGGTTCTGTGAGGTGGTCCAGGTGTTCTGGTTTCAAAACTGATCTGAGCTGAAAAAATACCAAAATAATCCAAACCCCACCAAAATCCAGACAGAACCACAGAGAAGAAGGTTCCTGCAGGTTCTGTCATTTCATCTGTTCACTCAGAATGGTGCATTCAATGACACAGGACATTATGACATGTATTGTTTAACAAATGAGAAATAAACTGTGAAACTTTGGACGGATTAAATCAACTGACACCAAAAACTCTGTACTGATCCTAAACTGATCCGTTATTGATGATTTTAGTTTAAAGTGTTTAGAAATAAATTCATGAGGATTCAAAAACAAGGAAACCATCAAACCTGATAAGTCCAGCTGGGTCCAGTTCTGGTTCTGGAGCAGTCTGAGGTGAATCTGGTTCTGGTTCAGGCTGTGATTCTGAACCCAGCAGGAAGAACTGCAGTCTGCAGTTTCAGACCAAGTCCAGATAAAATGTTCCAGGTGGATCTGAAGGTTTGGATCTCAGGAGAATGTCCTGGTGGACCGGTTCTGAACATCTGGATCAAAAACAGGTTCTGGTTCCTAAAACCCAAAGACCCCAGACTGTTCTTGATCCTTGCATATAAACGGACCGGCCTGGTTTTATAATTTAAATCACTGTTTTGTGTTTCTTCTCTCCTCTCCAGGTGTGCAGCTGATCTGATCTCAGGTGAGCCTACCTGAGGAGCTCGGCTCGCCCGCCCCACATTTAAATATAAAAGAGAAGGAGGGGGGCCCCAGGTGAGAGGGCGGAGCCTCTTTTTTACTTGTTACTGTACTCACCTGAGGAAAACTTCACACACGCTTGAGGCAGGTAGGTCAAACTACTTCAAAGACAAATGGTTCTTTTCATCATTCTGAATATTCTTCAAGCAACAGGTGAGCAGACAGGAAGAACTGTAATGAATGAAAACAAGAATTTCAAAATAAAATAGGAAGTGAGCAACACAAAAATACAGATTACTAAAACATCTGCGAGCAGGAGAACATTTCACAGCATGGTTCTCCCTTTATTGAATTTAAACAAGAAAAAAAAAGTTAATGTTTCTTTCCGGATTTTTGTTCGGAACGTCACAGTTTAATTTAAAAAATCAGGAAATAAAGAGGTATTTTTGTTTCAGAGATGTAAAAGTTCTGATTGGACAGTTTTTAAAAGCATCAGTTTTAAAGGCAGAATGGTGCGTTCGAGTGACATAGGACATTATGACATTTATTGTTTAATAACACAGTCTCTAACAGAACCTCAGGTCTGGTTCTGAACAAACAGTTTGATCATTACACATCTGCTGTGTTTTACAAAGTACACACGTGTACCCGTGTGTACTTGTGTGTACCTGTACATGCATGTAGAGCAGAACAGACGTGTTCTCTGATGATCCGTCAGCAGCAGCTCAGATCTGAGGTCTTTAAAGCTCACAGTAATCCCAGTTTCAACATGAAGCAGGATCCAGTCCTGCAGGCAGAGACACACCTGAATCCAGGGACCTCCAGAGTCCCAAGACCTGAACTCAGAGACCTCCAGAGTACCAACACCTGAACCCAGTGTCCTCCAGAGTCCCAAAACCTGAATCCCGGGTCCTCCAGAATCCCAACACCTGACCCCAGAGACCTCCAGAGTCCCAACACCTAAACCCAGAGATCTCCAGAGTCCCAACACCTGAACCCAGAGACCTCAAGAGTCCCAAGACCTGAACCAAGAGAACTCCAAAGTCCCAATACTTGAACCAAGAGACCTGCAGAGTCCCAAGACCTGAACTCAAAGACCTCCATAGTCCCACAACCTGAACCCAGAGACCTTCCGAGTCCCAACTCCTGAACACAGACCTCCACAGTCCTAAGACCTGAACTCAGATGTTTCCAAAGTCCCAACACGTGAACCTAGACCACCAGAGCCCCAACACTGCCAGATTTACAAAAGTAGAACAAGTAGACCTCGAGAGTCCCAACATCTGAAACAAGATACCCCCAGAGTCCAAAGACCTGAACTCACAGAGTCCTCCAGCGTTCCAAGGCCTGAAGTAAGAGACTTCCATAGTCCCAAGACCTGAACCCAGAGAACACCTGAGACCCAATACTTGAACTTAAGAGACTTCCATAATCCCAAAACCTGAACCCAGAAACATCCAGTCTCAACACCTGAACCCAGAGACCTCCAGAATCCCAACACCTGAACCCAGAGACCTCCATAGTCCCAAGACTGGAACTTAAGAGACCTTCAGAATCCTAAAACTTGAACCCAGAGACCTAAAACCAGAGACCTTCAGAATCCCAAGACCTGAACTCGGAGACCTCCAAAGTTTCAAGACCTAAAACCCAGAGTCCTTCAGTCACATGAGCTGAACGCTCCTCAACCAAATGTAAATTTAGCTTTAATCCAAATCAGTTTAAACGTTTTTCTAACAGTGAAGCTTTGGTCAAACATCGATGCTGCATCTACTAAAAAACACTTTACGTCAAACTTTTGTCTGTTTGAAATGTTCATGAAACTGAAGATTCCTGATGCTTAAAAGTTTCAGAACGATCAAAAACGTCAAGATGCTTTGAAGGTTCTCACAGTTTGCGTGACGCTAAAACTCAAAACATTTTGACCAGTCCAGATGTCTGCTGGTTTGTTGTTTCAGGGTTCACTCAGACAGGAGCTGCAGGAGAACCACTGGCAGATCAGAGGAAAAACGTCTCCACTGAAATCCTGGATTATGGATTTGAGGACCAGATGAGACGCAGGTTAAGAGGTCATTTTCACTCGGGAAGCTTTCTGAAGAATCAGAGCCAGAACCTGCTGCAGTAAAACTCAAATGTTTCATGTTGTTGTTCCTGTCCTTCCATTAAAGTTACAAATCAAAAATTTGTAGTTTCTTTAGTCAGGGCTTAACTTGTAAACTAACTGATGCTGGAACAAAAACAGAAGGGGATTTAGCCGGGGAGGTGTATGTGGGTCCTCCCCCAGAAAATTTGGAATAAAAGAGATGCCATTTCCTGCATTTTGGTGTATTTTAACTGGTTGTTGAACATCTGTAAACATTTGATTAAGCTGATTAAAAACAGGTGTCTCTTGTAAATGATGAGGCTCAATGAGACTAACAACCTGTATAAATGAAGGATGAACTGAAATTACTATTTTAAAGCGCAACAACAATTAACAAGCCTGTGTGTGAACGTCCTATTCTGTCGAGCGTCCTAACCCCACACACACACACTGTCTGACCCGAACTCTGCCCTGTGTGTGTGCCCTCTGACCTGAACTCTATTTATTATGTCTGAAATGTTATGCAGGAGTTCTGACACAGCAGTTGTGCGCTCGTCCTGCAGAGCTGTCTGGAGACGCTGTGCGTAAAACAACCGGGGCGCACAGCAGAAAGTGGATGAAGACGCTCCCCGCGGGACATGCAGTCCGCGTCGCTGCTGGGCAGGAGCGTGGTGCGGCCGGAACATCCACTCCAGACTGGGCAACGTCTCCTCTCGTTGTATTTTAAATAAATAATCAAAATAAAAATGTGTGATGACTTTGGACTTTTAGGGGCGGAGGTTTGAGTTGCCGGATCCAAGCGGTCAAAATGTGAGAGTTCCCGGATCCTGTTCCTGCAGGATCCGGCTCAAATTAACCACTGTCTTTAGTGATTCATGTTCACGTGGATTTAAAATCAGTTTGACGTCAGAAACAAAATAAATCTGTTGTTTCAATAAAGAATCTGAGGAACAAGAAGATCATTCTTCTGTTTTTATTAAAGCCAGAGAAAGCTCTGGGGTCTAACCCAAACATCCAGACCCACAGGAGGACAGAGAGCTAATCTGAAGACACGACGAGCGGATGAGACGGAGACACAGCCAGCAGCTAATGGGACAGAGACATCAAGACAAACATAAATCAAACAGTGCAGAAAACAAAGCACTGCACACGACAAACAGAAGGACCACAGGGCTAGGGTTTGACACGGGAAACAGGAAGTGAAGTCAAGACAGGGGTGGGGTTTGACACGGGAAACAGGAAGTGAGGTCAAGACAGGGGTGGGGTTTGACACGGGAAACAGGAAGTGAAGTCAGGACAGGGGTGGGGTTTGACACAGGAAACAGGAAGTGAGGTCAAGACAGTTTGTGTCTGAAACTGTCCTGAAGACATCAACATGAAGATCTGATCAATTTCCAGTCTTTGATCCATCAGTTCATTGATCTGTCCATCTGCAGCTGTGTGCGTGTCAGTGGTATCCATGGTAACAAGCACAGTCCATACCCCAGCAGTGAACACACACACTGAGCGGCGTGATGACATCATCACTACAAGCCTAAAGACTTGCGAACAATCTTCTGAGCCAGTCTGTAGAACTGCTCCCGGTCCTCACGCCACATCTTCGACGCGTCTACGTTGGCTCCACTCTCATCGTTGGGTTCTGAGGAGGATGGGGAGGAGTTACAACCTCAAAATGTCTCCTACCTGCTGACCTGTCGACAGGTATGGAACAGGTGTGTCGAGTACCTGCCAACATGCTGACCACAGACAGCAGGATCTTCTCGACACTCTGGACCGGACTCCACCTCTCTGCACTGCTCTCATAACCCATCGGGTCGTCTCCAGGAGCGTGGAGGATGGAGATACACACCCGACCATCTGGATAGACTGAGGAGGAGGAGGGGAGAGGAGGAGGGGTGGGAGAGGAAGAGGAGGGGAGAGAGGAGATCTCAGTTGACATATAGTTACAGGTAAAAATGTAGTGTCTTGTTCTAAAAGTCCGGTTTGGTTCTACTGTCCTCATGTCTCTGAGGACATCCAGGTGTCCTCTCTGGGATGTCAGCATCACAGTCACCTTTAAGGGAGTGCTAACCTGTACAGAACCAGAGCCTGCTCAAAGCTGATTGGCTGATAGTTTACCTACAGAAACAAAAGGTTCTGGTACCAACACCAGGACCTGGTCTTCACCTACGGTATGGACACCTGAGGCACCCGTGGCTCTGAATGGACCTCTTCTGCTCTACGCTGGGACACAGGAGATGGTCTTTGTGTGTTTTTTTTCTCTGCACTGCAGGTTGTTGGTTCTGGATGAGACAGCAGGAGGTTCTGTTCAGGCCCATGCTGGTCTGTGATGAAGGTGCTGAACATGATGACGGGTCAGAACTGAGCTCTGTCCTCTAATCAGCACTGAGCATGCTCAGACGGCCTTTCTGCCATGACATCGTGGCTCTGCCCACTAATCACAGAGCAGTTTTGACAGGTCCAACGACAATGGCAGGTTCTGACTCAGACGCTCACCTAACAGGCAGCGAGATACACATTGTCAGAACAAAACCTGTGCAGGTGAGGGGGTGTGCCCTGCATGTGCGTAGGTGAGAGGGTGGAGCCTCGGAGTGTGTGTGTAGGATAGGGGATGGGGCCTGTGTGTGTCTGTGTATGTGAGGGGGCGGAGTCTCTGTGTGTAATGGACTCACTGTTGGGGTGAAACATGTCACAGGTGAACCTCATCTTGGGAGGACTGAGGGGGTAGTCAGACGGGAAGCTGAGGATGGCGGGAAACACACCTCCTTCAAAACACGTGTCTTCTGGACCCCTGGAACAAACAAACAAACAAATAAACAAACAGATCAAAACTGTCATCAGTGCATGTGTACGCCTGTGGCAGCCATGACAGACTGACATGAGACAGAACAGTTTGGTGCTTCATATAAAAAATAGTGGACTCAAAATCTGCTGAGCCACAGGTTGCCATGGAGATCCCTGCCTTTTGAAGGGGGAGGGGCAACTTTCTAGGACAGGAAAGAAAGGCAGACTGAAAAACAAGCTTCAGACAAGCTGTGTTAAAACTAGAAGGTGTTGTTGAATGGTGAGCAGCTATAGGTTCTGAAGGTCTCAAAGGTATATGTCTCAGTTCAATAACGTGAGAGGAGGGAAGCATGTCCAGGTGATGTCACAGGTAATGACAGGTGTGGTCCTGATGATGTCACCCTGCAAACTAAACAGGTATGAGACAGTCTGACTGTACAGGAGCTGCACGTTAATTTAAGGGCAGCAGAAAACTGCTGTCACTCTTTCAATGACAAACTGAGGGATGTCTAATGATGGTGCCTTCAATGACAATTCAGACAGCCAGCGGATGAACGACGACTGACTAAACATGTCGTCGCTGATCAGGTTGGGGAGGGGACCAGAGAAAACTATGGAGTTCAACATTGTGGATACACACCAAAGCAACATTAAGTTTAGTGACATCCGATTGGCGTAACCAGGTGTCATTATTACTGACGTGAATAACAATCTTACTGTATTTAGCCTCAGTCAGCAGTTTCAAGTAGGATTCAATGTCGCCCACTCTGGCCCCCAGAAGACATAGGTCACTGGAGTCCATAGTACCACATTTCGGACTAAGGAGCTGCCAGTGACCAGGGTCTGCTTCTCAGCGGGTGTGTCACTGAACAAGGAAAATTGATTGGAAAAGTGAACAGGTCAGTGGTGAACTTAGCACTACGCTTGCTCTGGACCATCGCCCAGCCGGCCTGGGGTCCCGACTGCTCAGGGTCTGCCGGAGGACCGCTAACGAGACACCTTGGTCACCTCAACTTCTCATGAGGTTGAAGAACAAGAGCAAAGAACTGATTTGCTAAGTCATGGTTTTAGGGACATGTACTCTGCTGATTTATTGTTTTACTCTCTGGTTTCCATGGAAACCTATGGCTGAATGGGTCTGGTCTGTACTCACATGATGAGCGCCTCCCATTCAAAGAAGTTCTCCTCGTTGGCCGGACCTGTAGAATAAACAGAGTCCTCATCAGGACAGGTTCTGCTCTAAAGAAAAACGTCCAGAATCTGTCCAAACCAGCATGGACACCAGAACCAGACCCACAGGTCTATGTAAGTCTTCATCCAGCCCTCATTTCCTGTTTATTTTGGAGGAAGCAGATGTTATTAAACGCCTGAGCGAAGGGGGCGGAGTCTCACCTGCGACGATGCCTTCAGGTGGGTTCAGGGTCAGTTCTGAAACACAGACAGGAACAAACTCATTCTGAAGGTTCCGACCCAAACACGTCATGGACATTTGATGGCTTCAGACTTTAGTAGCTTAAACTTTTATTTTTTTATAAAGTCTCAAATTCAACAATAAAAACATTTCAAAATAAAACAACAGATGGTCCAAACAGCTGCTAAACCTAAGATTTCAACAGAACCAAGACTGCGTCCGAACTCCAGTCAGAAACGGTCAGAACCGAACTCCTGATTATGTTCACATTATCCAGTACCTGTTCAGTGATTGTGTTTTACAAACAGAACCTGTGGAGAAGGTTCTGGATCAACGCTAACGATCCGAACTTACTGATAAGATGTATTTTCCTGTCGAAACGTACACGACTAGCTGCAGTCAAATAAGGCCGAATCATTCACGACGTTGTGTTTTAAAGCGTTTTAATGATTTATGCCGTAAATTAACACAGGACCCAGAGAAATCCTTAAACTGCCAGATTCTGTAACGGAGTTTGGTGCAGCAGAACTTTAGCAGCCAGGTTAGCTTAGCTGGTAATAATAACAGTTCCAGGCTCGGTTCGAACAGTCACTCACGTTTATATTCGGCCATCAGCCTCTTCAGGGCGGTGCCGGCCATCGTGTTTAACAAAAAGGAAGAAAATAAAACAAGAAAACAAAAATAAACAACAGCTCCAAGCCAAACAAGACAGCAACTTCTGTCCTGCTGGGCATGCGCAGAAGGACGTTCAGCGAGCAGCCCCGCCTACTGACTCCTGGCGGAACTACAAGATCCACGGCTGTCCTGCTGGGCATGCGCAGAAGCGCGTTCGAAGTTTAGTAAACAGCTGACCCATGACCTCTTCGTTTGTTTCGAATGAATAAAAAAAATTAACTAACTTAAGCTGAAATATTATTAACATTTATTAACTTGGTTAATTTACATTAATAAACTATAATTTGATCAATATATTAAGAAATGTTTTTGCAGCAAACTCTGTTTTTATTGTGTTTATTCAATTCAAACTAAAAAAATACTTTATCAATCCCAAAAGGAAATTAAATGTAACTCATCATTCTGGTTTCATTAAAGAGTTGTTCTAGATGCTGATGGCTGTGGACAGGAAGGATCTGTTGAAGCGGTCTGTTTTATAGCGGCTCTGAAGAAGCTTCTGACTGAAGACACTCTATTGTTATATGACGATCTGATGAAGAGGGTGCTCAGGGTTGTCTATAGTGTTCTTTATTTTATGAAAAATCCTTCTTTGTACAATAGTCTCCAATGGGTCTGGAGGAGTCCTCCGAACTGAGCCAGCCTTCTTTATGAGCTTGTTGAGCTTTTTTGTGTGTACTCTGTGAGCCGCGCGGACTCCTCACGCACTGTCTGCAGACGGCTGAGACTTCATACTCGAGCTCTGCAGGCAAGGGGCGTTTACCTTTGGGACCAATTGAGGTTGTGATTGGTCATTTGCTGACACGCCTACTGGATTGATTGACAGGTCGCAAAAAAAAAAAAGCCACTGCCAAAAAACTGCCAGCGGCCCTGGGTAGAGACAACTGGCAGCCCAGGAGCAGCGGCAGCAGTGTTCTGTGCTTATATCTTGTTAATAAAAAGTTAAAAATTTCAGTCATGGCATCAACAGATGAGGAGGAAGAGCTCGCTTGCCTCTTCGAAAAAAAAAAGAAAAACAAATGAAAAGGCCATTAAACCAGACCAGGGATGAAGCAGGGGAATCCAATACATTTGTGTTGCATACAAAACAGTCCGTCGCCGGACAGTTTATTGTGTGATACCGAGTATGTACACGGTCGTAAAAATTGATCTTTGCACGGACATGGCTTTTGGACGTCCGCCTTGAATATGTGCGGACCTCCGCGGAGTGAAGTACGCCCGAGTATGTGGGGGCCTTAAGTCTTAAAATCATCTTTTACCCACCTCTTCCTTTTCTTGTTATGGGGGTCACTGGTGCACATATCCAGCAGTCAGTGTGTGAGAGGTGGAGACATCCTGGACATGTCTCCAGTCCATCACAGGGACACATAGAGACAAATGAGACAAACAACCATTCACTCTCTCTCTTACCTAGGAACAATTTAGAGTTACCAGTGAGTCTAACATGCATGTTTTTGGTCTGTGGGAGGAAACTGGAGTACCTGGAGAAAACCCACGCAGCACGGAGAGAACATGCAAACTCCACCCAGAAAGGCCCCTGGCTGGGATTTGATCTGGTGACCGTCTTGCTGAGAGGCAACAGCTCTACCAGCTGAGCCACTGTGCCGCCAAAAATTTAACCCAATGTCTTAAAAATTATAAATTGTATAACCTAATTGTCACTTTCCAGGGTAGCTGTGGTGGCCATCTAGAATCAAAACGACTCCAAACAATCAGTTGTAATTTTTTTTTGTACAGATTCCTTTCTGAGGATTTTATCAAAATCAGTCAAGTGGCAAATACTTTATTACAGTATCCATCTTTCTATATTATGTATATAAAAATATATATTTTAAAAACAAGTTCAAAACTCCAGTTCTTGTGTTTTCTATCGTATATTATCTTTTCCATATCAAACTAAATACCTGTCTTTTCAGGTAAATGTGTTTGTGGGCTATTCCCAAAGTTAAACTGTCATGTGACTAGGCCAGCTGATCAAAGACTCCCCAGTCTCAGACAACAAAAAATATACGGCAGAAAAAAATGGTATACTCGAGGCGGTGTGTGTCTTATAGGGGGGCTCTATAACACTAAGTCACACAGATTTTTTGGTTTATCATCTTAATGTGGACTGGAAACTTTTACAAGACAATCATTCAGGCTAAATAACTCATTTACTAGATTTTCATTGATTTTCATTGGGAGGACCTGGCGAAATGTCCTCACAAGGGGAGATGTCCACATTGGTCTAATGTCAGGGGTAAGTCCTCACAACGTCACCAAAACAAGTGCACACACACACACACACACAATTAAAAACATCGACACTGTTTTGTGATAAAAATTTATTTGGCATCTGTGCACATCGTTACCTGCAGTTCATCAAACTCATACATTTATAAAAATCAGAAATAAATCTACATACATCTAATATAAAAATCAAAGTGATCCACCGCTGCTTCAACATGGGGGTGGGGGGTCGTGACCTTCAGGATGTTCAAATATTAATATAATTATAAATCTGTGCATTAAATAAATCTAACAATATACAATCTGCAAACCAACAAACACCAAACACACACCTGTGAGTTTAATATTCATAAAAATAAAATATCTTTGGTGTCTGATTTCAAACTGAATCTGTTTTAAAGCGTTCAGTAAAAACAAACAGCTGGAATGTGACAAAACATCAACACATTTAAAGTTTCCATCAGAACAGAAATCTTTGATGGTTTGTGTCCAAAATAAATGATTTACAAACTGAACGAGGTGCTAATTAAAATATGAAGTTCTGAGCTCTCAGATGGACCTCAGTGTGAACTGGGAGGATCAACACAAAGTTACAGGAAACGGTGATTTCTGACCATTAGCACGCTACCGTCAGCGGCAGGAAAGCAGCGAAGAAGGAGCTTTGATGCTAACGTTAGAGGACAGTGGAAAACATGGAGCTCGAACAGGAAGTGAATAAAATACAAGTGTTTTTAATGTAGACTGACGGAAACTCTTCTGGCACAAAAACACCAGAAATAAACTTTAAAACACACAAAGTGCAGAAATCTGCCAATCAGATGATGTCATCATTTCACATTTCAGAATGTTCTGATCTGCAAGAGATCCAGTCTGGTTCTACAGATTCATCGATAGTTGGAGAAGTGGATTGAGCTGGGAAGCTGTTTTGTCTCATGCAGTTCATGTAAAACTAAAATTTTCTGATTTGATCACAGTTAAAGACTCTTTAAAAACCTGTCAGTTTTGATTCAGACATGTTTGGACTGAGACCAGGTTCTGATCAATTCTGCAAAACAAACTGAAGGCAGCAAAGCTGAAACGTCCCTCAGATAAGGTCTGATAATGTCAGGTGACGTCAGGTGAAGTTCAAGTGTTGCTTTAAGGCTCAGAGCGTGAGTTCTACATCGGATGATTTTTGTTTCAACTTGTTGCTAAAAACAGAAAAATAATCAGAACCAGAAGCAGCGGAATTACACAAAACATTTTTCACTGACTGTAAGGCACAGAGGAGGTTCTACGTCTTTTAAAACCATAGAAGAAGAAAAGTGTCAAACAGATGACCCGAATCATCTTCTCTTGTTTTCAGTGTTTCATCGTGTCGTATTCAGATCAAACGTGGTTAAACAGTGAACCTAAATGTGTAAAAGTCATCACTGTGAGTTAAACTTAGATTTTTCAGATTTTCTGGTGTCTCAGCTGGTTGTAGTCCACACTCTGCAGCTCCAAGAGGGTCTAACACGAGCTAAAACAGCTCGTAGAGACACAAACATTTGATGTTTTTGAATTTTTTTTAAAGCTGCTTCAGTCGAGTTAAAAATGTTTGAAAATAAGCAGAAAAGTTCTGAGTTCAAACCCGGTCCATTTACAGTTCTGAGACCATCAACATGGTTTTTGGATGCAACAACTACAGCTCCCATGATGCTCTGGGAGCAGAATATTTGACATGTAAAACAAAAAATCACAACAGTTTACTCAAGATTTTCTGTTCTCAGGTATAAAGATGGTTTGAACTGGAGTTTAAATGTATTTTTAAGAAATTATGTGACATTTATTATGTTAAATCCCTTTAAACTCATTTTACAAGAATTAAAAAGTTAAGTTTAACAAACGTCACTTTGATCTGAAGAAATCTTTTTATTTTTTAACTGAATACAAATGACTGAAGAGCAGCGACGCCCCCTGTGGACAGAAGACAAACTGCAGCTCAGACCTGATGGAGCTCACTGAAGGTTCTGATTATCTTTACTCCGCAGAGCCTCACCGGGTCCAGAGACTCCAGAACCATCTTTAGACACCAAACAAACAGAAAATCTAAAGTATCCTGATAAACTAATCCAGCTTTCAGAAAGAAAGCCTCAGTCACACGTGTCAAACAGGTGGGAGGAGCTTCTGGTGTCAGGTGGGTGGAGCTTGACACAGCATGGTGTAGGGCTGAACAGGCACTGATTGATGTTAGCATTAATTTAAATACAGACCATGAAGTTTAGATTCATCTACTAGATTGCGCCTGGATTCAATTCGATGATTGAATTGCGCTGCACATGGTGGCTGCATGTTGAAGCAGCTCTGTTACTTTCATTCTGGGGTGTTGCTTTTGAAAACTTTATTCCCTCTCTTTTTCTGGATGTAAATGACATTTTTTATGATTTCTTCCTCTAGTATCAGATGCTGTGCAGCTGGAAGGATTTTCAATGAAGCCCTTTTACATTTGGACATTTGTTTTGATGCGTAACCATGACAACAAGGTGTTTTTTTTTACAATCAGGAACAGCTGATTAACATCTCAAAAGCTCAAATAATATCTCAGCTACAGCCCCAAATCACAAATGAGTAATAAAGGAGGCGCCATGGATGCATCTCCGTCTATCTGGCAGAGGTGCTTGAGTGACTGACTGCTGGGATCCTGGAGCTGGCAGGAAACGTGGCTCACGACAACAAGAAGACCAGGATCATCCCCCGGCACCTGCAGCTGGCTGAACGATGAGGAGCTCAACAAGCTGCTGAGAGGCGTGGCTATCACTCAGAGAGGAGTTCTGCCCAACATTCAGGTGGTACTGCTGCCCAGGAGGACCAAGAGGCCCGCTGGGTGGACGGATCGGCATCTGCAGCCAGATTCTTTGGACCCGCTGTAAGACGGACCGCTACAAGAGATCCTTCCTGCCACAGCCATCAGCATCTAGAACAACTCTTTACTGCAACAAGGATGATGAGCTACATCCACAGTTCATTTCCTTTTGGGATTAATAAAGTATCTTTGAATTGAATTGGATAACAGTGACCTCTTGACGCAGCTGATCAGACCCTAACAGGACAAAAACTAAACTACAGCTTTTCAAAACCCTGCAGCAAACCTTTCAACGTTCTGCTCAGTGGGGTCTCTATTCAGGTGTGTGAAACTCCGCCCACCCATTCGTATAATCACAGTCTGTTTCTGTAAAGGGTAAGTTTTTTCTTTCGTTAATCTGGTTGGTGTGCTGTGTGGAGGAGCTCTACTCTTCCTCCTCCTCCTCCTCCTCCCCTGCCATCACCTCCACCAGTAGCTCGGCGGTGCACGTGGCCTCTCCCAGACTGTTGACCGCCTTCACAGTGTACTTGGCATCATCGTCACCTGAAACCTGCAGGTTCACATCAGAAAACCATGAAATTATTTTCAAACGTAACTCTTTTCCCCCTGTTTGTTCTGTTTTTACAGAAAGGTCAGAATTTATTTTTTAACTAAAACAAAAAGTTTAGTTAAAACTTGAACCAACACCAGAACAACTTCCTGAGATTTCAAAGATAAAGATGAAAGTCCAGGCTGGGTTGACCTCTGACCTCTGAAATGATCAGGCTGCAGTTTCCCTCTTCATCGTAGTCGATCTGGAAATGTCGGGTCTCCTTGATGGGCTGCTCGTCTTTGTACCAAACCACCTCTGGGTCCGGGTACCCTACGGCAGAACCACAGAACCACCTCAGTCATGGTTTCTTTTTAAGGTTGAACGCTTCTAAAGAAAACAAAATACCATTCCTTCGCCAAAGTTTAAAATATTTTTTAAAGTTTTAGTCAGTTGGACTTTAAAGTATGTAAAGAATACATTTACAATAAAAAAAGTAAAAAGCCTGATTGATATTATTAATTATTGATTAGGCAGCATAATAAATGTGGCTCATTATAACTAACAAAGAACCAAGATCTAAAACTGATTCTGTGCACCGGACCAACTGTCAGAGGACCTAAAACAGACGAGGACTGGGTTCACAGATCCGCTTCTGACTGACGACGATCTGATCCTCAATCAGCTGATCTGTGGCGGTACCTTCGATCTTGCAGTCGAAGCGGGCGGCGCTGCCCTCCACCACCTCCACGTCTTTGATCACAGAGCTGAAGCTGGGCTTGCACTCGGTCCTCTGCTCGTACTCCAAACACTCCAGGAACTGGTTGTCCTCTGAAGAAACAACGGGAGTTATTCACTGCTGCTGGACGAGGGGGTGAACAGAACTTGGTTCAGAACTCCTTCCCGAGTGTCATACCTTCAGTAGGTGACCCCTTCTTGGCGCTGACTCCAGCCATCATGGCCATGGATGAGAGTCTACCGATGGCTCGGACAGCGTGACCCGTTTTCTGCTCCACAGGAGTTCAGAGACTTGATTAATATAAAGTTCTTTTGGATCAAACCAGCACTGCAAATATATAAACTGCTGACTACGCTCTAGCACTGTTCTGCTGAGTCATGGTTTACCTGCCACTTCCTCCTGAGGATGTACTTTTTCATCCTCTCCTTGGACAGTTTAGTGGTCTTCATGGTGTTTGTGTCCTGTTTGAGCCAGGGATGGTCGTAGCACTGAGCGCACGTGAGCCGAGTCCTGAGGAGCCAACAGGTGATCACGTTTAGACTTTACGCTCTAAACAAATAAAAACTTGAAACTCATCACACGACTGAGTGAAGGAGGACCAATTTGTTTGTGAAGTAGGACCCGATCCAAGGACCAGGGTCACCTCCTGCTCACTTCATGTCCTTCTTTAGCAGACTGGTGATGAAGTCTTTGGCGTTCTCAGAGATTTCATCAAAAGCTTCATCCTCAAAGTCCCAGGTAGCCGAGGTGACATTAGCCAGAGTCTCGTTGTCATTGTCGCCCATGAAGGGGGAGAGACCGCTCAGTCTGAGGAGGAGGGGAGAACCCAAACTCAGCTCAACTCCAACCAGCTAGAAGCCAACGTGTTCTAAACTCACAGTATGTAGCAGATGACTCCTATACTCCACATGTCGGTGGGATAACTGATGGCTTCGTAGTTGATCACTTCTGGAGCCACGAACTCTGGAGTCCCAAACAAAACCTTCAGAGTTCCTGCGTTCTCTGTCAGGAAGAGGAGCGAGACCATTCAACCCAGCAGGAGGAGCTGACTCACTTTATATACGTCTAACGTTAGTTAGTTAAAATCAACAGTTAAACTGGTAAGAAAGAACTGTTAGTTCCACAAACTGGGTAGTTAGACACAGATTTACAGTGAAAAGTTAACTAATCACTGACCAGTTAGTTTAACTAAAGTAATCTAGTTATAGTCAACACTAGAGCATATATTGTGTTAACACGTGACATAGGCATATGCCACTGGTCACATACTGGTGAGTCACCTTTAGTCACTAGTTCTTAGTTAGTCGCAGTTCGTTGTTGGTGGTTAGTCAAAGGTAGTTATCAGTCGATGGTCATTCAGTTATTTGTTAGTCACTGGCTAGTGTTGGTCACTAGTAGCTGGTTAGTGACTGGTTAGTAACTGGTTAGTCACAGTTAGTCACAGTCATGAGTCACTGGCTAATCACAGTTAGTTGTTAGTCACTGATCAGTCACAGTTAATTGTTAGTTGCTGGTTAGTTATAGTTATTGCTGTTTAGTTGCTGTTTAGTAACAGTTAGTCTTAGTCACAGGTAAGTTGCAGTTAGTATTTAGTAACAGGTAAGTCGCAGTTAGTCAGTGGTTAGTCACATTTAGTCATTGGTTGGTGGTTAGTCACAGTTAGTTGTTAGTTGCCTGGTTTGTTGCAGATAGTTGTTAGTAGTTAGTAGCTAGTTAGTTGCAGTTAGCTGTTAGTTGCTGGTTACTCACAGTTAGTTGTTAGTCGCAGGCAAGTCAGTTAGTCAGTGGTTAGCCACAGTTAGTTGTTAGTCACCTGGTTTGTTGCAGTTAGTTGTTAGTAGTTAGTCGCTAGTTAGTTGCAGTTAGCTGTTAGTTGCTGGTTAGCCACAGTTAGTCGTTAGTCACCTGGTTTGTGGCAGCTAGTTGCTAGTTTGTGGCAGTTAGTTGTTAGTCCCTAGTTAGTTGCAGTTAACTGTTAGTTGGTGGTTAGTTACAGTTAGTTGTTGGTTAGTCATGGTAATTGTTAGTTGCTGGTTAGTTACAGTTAATTTTTGTTGCAGGAAGAACATTGACAGAGATCAGCGGTGGTAGACAGAGGTTAGTTACCTAGTCTTCTGGCGAGGCCGAAGTCGATAAGTTTGATCTTGGAGCCTGTTTTGTTAACACACATGATGTTCTCGGGCTTGAGGTCTAGGTGGACGATGCCCTGTTTGTGGATGAAGTTGACGCCATCGATGATCTGCAACATATATTTAATTACCTCTCGCTCGTTGAGCTCAAAGTCTTCATCGATGATCCTCTCAAACAACTCCCCGCCTGAGATCCTGCACACATCAGAACAGGAACTGACCCAAAGATCGCAACATTTCTTGTTCTAATTAACTTAACTTTAATTATTGAACTTTTTGCCTGATTGCAATAGCTACAGTTTTGCTAATTTCATATTTTGACTTGTTTTTATTGCAACTACTGTTTTACTAATTTTAGCTATGAGCTGCAGATATGTTAATTTTAGCTACTAGTCAGTTTTAATCATTTTATCTTTTAGCTGTAGTTTTGCATGTAAGCCTTTAGTTATGTTTTTAGTACTTAATGTTTTTGCTACAGTTTAGCTAGTTTAACATTTTAGCCACTGTCTTGCTAATGTTAGCTCAGTTTCTTTAGTAAATTCTTCAGTAAATTCATTCATCATCAGCATCACAATGAGTTCACTGTTTCTAGTTAAACCATTAGATTCAGGTTGTTTGTGTTTATGTTTTTTGTTTTGTTTTTGAAGTTAGAAAATCAAATATTTTGGAATGAACTCAGGTGGACAGAAGAAGCCAACAGGACGTAAACACTTTTCTTTGTGTTGTCTTCATGTCAGCATTCATTTAGCCGAGTGTTTTATCTCCGTCGCTGCCGGAGCGCCAAAAATATTTTATTGTATTTGTTTCACTTCCTTGAACACAAATTAATTTTTCTTGTTTTCTGTGTCCAAACAGTTTCTGCCTTCAGATGAAAGTGTTCAGAGACAACCAGCAGCTGAATATTCTCATCACACAACAGAATCAAGTATTACCATCAGGTATGTTTTTAATAATCTTTAGGTTTTCTGACTGACTGCAGCAGCTGGATTCATCTGAACCTCCTGCAGATGAAGACCTGAGGTCTCTACCAGGACCACCTACATCTCCAGGACCATGACGATGTCCGACTTGCCCTCGAATGCGTCCACACACTGGACCAGTTTGGGGTGATGGAGGCTGTTCATGATGTTGATCTCCTGCCGGACGTTCTCCTTCTCCTTTGCCGAGTACGCCTTGATGAACTTTCCTGCCCAGACCTTCTTCGTGGCTTTCTCCACCAGCTTGAAGACCTGACCGAACTTCCCCCTGTGACACAAACAACATTTACAGTGCATTCACTGACCGCTGGGTTGGAGATGAGTGTGGGCAGAGCCTTACGTTCCCAGTCGCTCCTCCACGTCGTATAGCTCCTTCACCTTTAGGTCGTTTCTGATGGTCACGTCTCGGTACTCTGGCACCTTGTCCGAGTCTGACAGAGGACACATTGTTCTGAGTTAACCTGCTTTGTTTTGTCATGCGCTTGTTTGTAAACACAGTGACTGTAAACAGGAAGTTATAGGATCGTACCTTCCTCCTCCTCCTCTGCCTCAGCATCATCCTGGTTTTCTGTTAGAGGAGCCAAACAGCAGCCGTGTTAGTCCAGTTAGTTGTTTTAGTTCTGCCTCATGATTCTGCTCAGATGGTTAGAGTCCAGTTTAGTTTGCAGGGTTCTGGTTAGAGTCCAGTTTAGTTAGCAGGGTTCTGGTTAGAGCCCAGTTTAGTTTACGGGGTTCTGTTTTAGTAGCGGATCAGATCAGGCATTGGTCCAACATCACAGAGTTCTGATTACAACAGAACACAGAAGGGTTTTCTAACCCGTCAAGGCCTCTTGCACCTGACAAATCAAACCAATTTAATGACTTGGATCCTAAAATTCTACAAATACAATATTCTGACTGCCGTGTCCATGGATATAAACCTATATATAAGACTGGGACCAGAACCACTCCACTTACAGCTACTACACAAGCAAACACTGAAAGCTTTGCAGAGAGTGGTGAAGGCTGCACAGAAGACTGTCAGAGTCAGCCTCCCACCATCACAGACATCTACACCTCCAGATGCAGGAAGAGAGCCACTTGCATCATGAAGGACCCCACACACCCGGCACACATACTTTTTGCCACGCTCCCCTCAGGCAGGAGGTTGAGGAGCATTAAATGTAGAACCACTAGACTGAGGAACAGCTTCTACCCTGAAGCTGTTAGACTCATGAATTTCTAATTAGGATTATTACTCTGAGAAAAGAAGAAAAAAAATCATTGTAATGCCACTTTGGTGATATGTGCTGCTGATTATCCATGCTACTGATCTCATGCTGCTGATTATTTCATGCTTCTGTATTCATTCATCCGTATCCATCTGCTCACACAGACTCATGTTCGGGCTGTTGTTGTTATGCATATTGCTTTGCATTATTGGTGTTTAGCGTATAGCTTAGATCTTTAAGCGTAGCGGTTGGCGTTCATTCATTCATATATATATATATATATATATATATATATATATATATATATATATATATATATATATATATATATAT